TTTCAATGGGAGGGCCATCTGGAGATTACAGTTCTTTTAAACCTCTGAAAAAACGAAAGTCCGTTATCTCTTGTTCAGTTTCTTGATCAAATCAAATGTGACATTTCAGCGGACTAACACGCAGTTATATCAGGTAATCATATCAGCATAATATTGTATCATGATTATTTATGATATGGCTGATAAGGCGACTTGATAAGTGTTAGGAGATATATTGTTTGTGATAATTTTCTGCTTTTAATTTCTGTGAACTGTTGTATTTCATAAGGATAATAGAATAATGCATTTCTGAAATATTTTCATCATAGAAAATAATGTTGAAAGAATGACCACAAGGACATCTCGTTAAAATATATAATCTAAATTGCTTTGTTCCATACAACCAATATACCTTGTATAAGTATTCAGAAGCTACTGAATTGTCATACCCCCATGTCTTAGTTATTAGATACATCTTACAACGATGCTATTGCAATTAATTATATTATTAATAGTCCATGTAACTCTCAAAAATAATCGCAAGTCGATGCTTTTTCGTTAGGAAAAAAAAGAAGACCCGGAGACAGAGAGGGCAGCTACAGGCACTATCATTGCGGGACTGCCGATGGGTAATTCATTTCTTTCAAAGGACTATCCCTAGTTAACGTGTTTTCTTCAAATTATGTTCACCATCATTTTCAGTTTTACAAATACGCTTTTAAGACCTTATTGACCAATCCCCATGTGCGCAGAGGTGTTATGGGGCCTAATGGATCCAGCCAAAACTTCCCGAAACGTAATCAGTGCACGTTTGCAATCAGATTCAGCGTTTGGAAACAAACTGCAGACAATATAGGCCTATACTCATGGATCAAATCGGTAAACAAAACAACAGTCAAAGCTCCTGCCTTTCTATAACTGCTGTCTGCTGACATCGACAACATTTCAGTGTCACATTGATTGAGATCTATTTTAGGACTTATAAAAGAGCAGATAGTCATTAAAAACGCAATAATCCTAAACCATAAATTGTAATATTACACCAAAAAAACGAATAAAGGCTATGGAACCAACCGAATTTCCAATTACCTTTGAAGAACCGGTTGGGTTTTGGCTTTGAATTGGGAGGTTGGGAGGTGCGGTTTCAGATTTTTTAGAACATCCCATTTTAGGCATCTGCTTGACATTTGGACCCGAGGAAGCCTTGCGTGAGAGTAACACCAATAAAGATGCCAAAGCACATTTAAAACCTTGGGCAGAAAACATTATTGGTGGTTCCATACCAAAATAATGAAAGGAGATGCATGCGGTGCCATTTCCCCCTTCTTGCCTCTTTTCAAACTGTGATGTCATGGACAGTATTGCAATAATTCCGGTTGCTGTGTTTCGGATGAACATAATTAGTCCACCATGATAACGTTTAGAGCTTGATGGTCAGTTCGCCACATTGTACGAGACCAGTGAAAGTAGGCCTATCATGCTTGCGTCAACTAAACGAAATAGTAGATAGGCCTATTTCCAGAACCGAAAGAATCGAAATGTACTTATACATCTTCTTCTTGTTCTCTTTTTTTTTTAAAGCTATTAGCCTATAATAATGACAATGATATTTGTATGACTTTTATTATACCTGTGCAGTATAGGCCTTGTGGACGGATGAAATAGTATGAATAAATTCATCAAAATAACGTTTTTAATGAAAGTATGTTAATCAGTATTTGAATATGTTGGTAACCCTTTGTATAAAAGTGATAATGCCCTCGAAGCCGGTGTTTGGAGGATATATTGGCACGGTTTGCCGGCACTCATCTTCGTCTCGGGCTTAACAAGACCCGTGCCAATATATCCTCCAAACACCGGCTTCTCGGGCATTATCACTGAAAGATTTTATACGTTTGCTACAAAATTCGTAAACTTAGGTAGAGTATCTGGACTCTCAAACTGTATTTTGTATTAGGCCTATTTTGAGGGTTAATTTTAGCATAGGCCTACTGTTCCCCAATAATATACAAAATGATTGTTGGTAAATGTTATAATACAGTTATTATTGTTGTTATTATTATCATTGTTATTATTAGTAAAAGTACAGCGTATAGTTTTATAATATAGGCTAGGCTATGGGTTCAAAGACTACCCAGATTTCCCCTGCTTTCATCCAGAGACCGCGCGGCTCAGCGGCGTCAGCGTGGCGTCGCGCTCCCTCAGCAGGTAGTTGTGTTGACAAACTGCAGAATATGGAGAACCTTAAGGGCTTCATCAATCATGCCAAATTAAAGGTAACCTCGGTGTCAGCCACGCCGAAAGAAATGTTCCCTGTATAAACAGCATCAACTGTCGGAATCCCTGATTAGTTTTAGGGAACAGAGCAGACACAACTATAGCCTATTAATTGGAAGGTAGAAAAAAAAATCTAATTTGATGATACATTTCAGTTTCAGATACACCTACACTAAATTAAATTAAGGGTACACCTAGACTAAATTAAATTAATGATACACCTAGACTAAATTAAATTATCGGTACGGCCCATTCAATGAACAGGTATCAGATAGGCTAATAAGTTATAATGTGGAGAAAATTTAGAAAATAGTGCAGACTAATAAACAATTACCATTTCCATTTAATGTTGCAAATGACTATTTCGTCTCTCCAAAGTGCATAAAGAATAATATTAAGTCACCAAACATGTAACTAGATTAATGTTGCCTGTACAATTGTATGGTCAGTATGGTGAACTAACTGTAATCCTTCCTCCCTATGCGCATAAATCGATTGTTTGGCGCAAATCTTCATCGACTGATTTACAGGGTCCACTCGTGCGTAATCTCCTTTCTCAAATTAAGAATCTCCCTTATCAGAAAGCTATTTATGCAGTCAAACACGACGATTACTGAAATAGTATTGATTTTATATAATAATAGTAATGAAAGGCACTCGAAGCTCCTTTTGGCACAGTTGTAGATATAGGCCCTCAATGTAGAGTAACCCCATGGATGTTGCAACAATGATACGTAGGCTATTAATCATTACCTTAATTAGTACGAACATGTGTTTGACTGAAAAAGCTGGTAGTAAATGCATCATCAAGCCAATGGATCCTATCATATAAAGTAGGTGACCAACCACTCAATCATGATCCATTTCAGTTCTCCATCCAGTATAGCCTAATATTTGGCATTGCTATGTTTTTTTGTAGGCCCTGCAATGAGTCTTTGAGGAAGAGGGATAAAGTTGAGTTATATATTCTCCATCCTTGACCTTCATTGACATGGTCCCTTGTGTCTCCCTGCACTATGGAGAGCTCAAAAGGGTCAGGGTACACATTGCATCATCGCTCTCTAACCTTTTTCTCAGATAGACCCCTCTCCCATGCAGCTCTAAAGGCTCGGTATCTCTCTGCTGACGGCCCCTGTGATGCCCTCTCTTTTCATTTACAGCACATAAAACACACACTGCTAGAGGTCAAGGGTCATGTTGTGTCTGGAGTAGATTTACTCCCATCTATCTATACGCTGACATGCTCAGAGGAACTATATGGTTAACATATACTATGGACCAGGGGCGATGCTTTCAAGGCTTTGAAATGGGGTTTGGTAGTTTTCAGAGCAGGGTTTGAGAGGTGTATATAGGTGACTTAATTCGTAAATATAGTGTAAAAATTCAAAGGGTGAATCAGTAATGGTCACGATCTTGAATATCAAAACTTTGGAATTTAAAAACATTACGATCACTGTAGAAAGTCACGGCTCAAGACAAGGGGAGTGTTCCCAGAGTTTTATTTGTATACAATCTAGACTTGTTTTATTTCCAGTGATGTCATTCAGCAACCTATCTCAGATGTAAATGGTTTGGTTGTTAGGCTGTTGAAATGAAATTCTCTATAAAAATCTCAATCCATAAATCCACACCAGAAACTAAAATGTACATGGAATTGAAGAAAACAAAATAAAACTCTGTACTGTCATTTGCTGCTGTTAAACTAAATTTAATTATTAACATTTCATAAATATTACAATAATAATCTCAATCACTTAAATTGATCATGGTAGTGGAGAACATTAACTGAGCAAAGACTCCGTTCTCTGCATGCAGTCCAGTGCTCATACAAATGTCAGTGCAAAAAGGTCTACTTACGAGGGAAAAAAACCTTTGTTAAAATACTTCAAAATAAAATTTTTTTTTTGAATAAACCTATACTTAAATATATACATGTGCAAATAAAATAAAATCAGGGTTTTAATCAAATTGTATGCAAACATTTACCACAGTAGTTATTCTGCTCATGTTCACACGTCAGTTTGGTTGTCAGTTTCAACATTTCGTCTATTGGCACTATAACTAATAATAAAGACAGCATGGCTAAGACAACGGATAGAAAACTAGCAGTCCTTTAGATATAGGAGAACTAAACAGTGTGATATATATAGCGGCTTCAGAAGACCACAGTGTGGAGAGAAAAGCAACCCCTGGTTAAAGTGCTCACTAGTTAGTAATCATTAAAAGAAACAGTCTCTTGTAGTCCTGGGTTATGTGCAACCTACTGAACACTGCAGATAGAAATGTCATGAATAGAGAAGACATGATTCCTTATTCTACATGTCAGAGAGGTATGTCTGATCTAGATGACATATTTCTGGACATTTGTAGCAAATAGAATCAAGCCCTTATAGATTTGCTGGGGACAGGTGGGGAGAGGGAGAGAAAGTGAGGGAGAGAAAGCGAGAGGTTGCAGTCATAGAATACACTAGAGATTGACAGGAAGATTTAAGCGTGATAGAGGTATCAGTCCAACAGAGTCACACACATAAAACAATCACAAGATAAATGTAGTCCGCAAAGGATGGTGGGAAAGATTAACATTCATATCTGTGGTGTCACTTAGGCTGTTTACACAGGCAGCCCAATTCTGATCTTTTTTTCTTCTCACTAATTGGTCTTTTGACCAATCAGATCTGATGTGAAAAGATCTGATGTGATTGGTCAAAAGACCAACGAGTGGAAAAAATGTCAGAATTGGGCTGCCTGTGTAAACGCAGGCATCGGTGCTAGAGTCAGTGCCGGAATGTGTCCCAAATAGCACCCTATTCCCTATATAGTGCACTACTTATGACCAGAGCCCTATGGGTCCTGTTTAAATGTAGTGCAACACATAGTGAATAGGATGCCATTTGGGATGCAGCCCATTTCGAAGGGGTAGAACGCTTGTCAACACAAAAGGATAAAGTAACGTAGATACACTAACATACACCTTCATTTACCAACATCACCTATCCCAGCTTTGGCAAAGGTAAAAACTCACACTGAACAATTGTCCTTAACTCTGACAATCTTATTTATCCATCAACAATCAAGAGCTGTATTATCAGTGTCGTGTTCATTAGGCGCCAAATAGAAGAAAATGGATTGCAACATGGAGAAACTAATTGGACTTGTCCAATAAGAAACATTTATTTTCGTCTTCCGTAGGCAAAAAAAACATTTTCAATTTCGCACACTAATGAATACGACCCAGCTGAGATGCATGAAGATGAGAGTTCACATTACAAACTCAAAATTGGACGCTCTGAGATTCCCATGGACATTAGAGTCATCCACATACACATCAATTTAGAGTGTGACCCATGGCGATTACTTTACAACTCATAAAATACTTTGGAATGGACACAACTAATCGTTTGCCGTTCTCTGCTAAAAGGAAAAGGATTTCATGTAGTAAATGTGGTTGGATTAATTATCGTTGTGCCTTTTGGGAATTCATTTCAATTCCATCCAATTTAATCCAGCTCACAAAGTTAAAGACAAAAACGCTGTAGAGTTTCTACCAGCCCTCTAGTCATTCTTTTAAGTTCTTCAAATCGTAAAAAAAAACACATTCCAACAAAAACAACATTCATTTAAAAAAGAAAACCAGAATATTAAACTCAAAACTCATAGTTAAAGTAATTCACAGAACAAAAAAACTAAGTATAATGTGAACCACAACTGATAATGGTTGCTGTAATAATATTCAGTCCTAGGTGAGTTCATAGCGTATGTTTGACTTCTTCTTGACTTTGTTAGCATACTGTAGCTACACTTCTGCGTGGTTAACCTGGAAGTAGTTGGTTATATTGTTGTATGCTACTTGTGTGCGGGATATATGTCTAGTCTGTCTGAAGGCCTCGCCCCTTATGATGTCACTTCAGTTGGGCGGGCCCAATCTATACACTCCCTGCTCTCCATTGGCTCTACAGCCAGAGAGCAGATCGCCTCACACCCAGTATGGAAGCAAGCACCATTGCTAGCAGTACAGAACCCTAGATTTAGAATGAACCAGCAACAACTTTTGTCCAAAGTAGTATACTGCAACAGTGCAATCACTGGTTCGTGTATTCACCGACTTCCACTCCTCGTCACTTCCTGGTTAGGCCGCCACGTGGCCGATGAGATAAATGTTGTCGTAAAGATGGCCGACAAAGTCCTCGCTGATGTTCTGGGCGGCGCGGCGCGTGTTGCGGATGAACTCGCGTTTGGACATCTTGTTCTTGACGTGCGGGCTGGTCAGGTCTATAGACAGGAGGATGAGCGAGTAGCACAGCACATACACTGCATCTGGGGAGGAGAGGAGGAGAGGAGGGATGGACAGAATGTAAGAGAGCGAGAGAACTGGGAGAGTGGTCAAACAAGTCCCTGCACTACGCATACAATGAAGATAAAGTTGTATATGAGCCGTGGGGCGGCAGGTAGCCTAGAGGTTAAGAGCGTTGGGCCAATAACTGAAAGGTAGCTGGTTCGAATCCTGAGCCGACAAGGTGGAAAATCTGCCGATATGCCCTTGAGCAAGGCACTTAGCCCTAATTGCGCCTGTAAGTCGCTCTGGATAATAGCGTCTGCTAAATGACTAAAAATCTATACAAAAATAAAAAATGTGATGGTGGTATTTTAGACTGAAGATCACTTGTGGAGATAGGGCACACACGCCAACAAAATACATGTTTTATCTTGCTTAGTAACATACATTTATTCAATTCAATATATTAGCCAGCCCCGACGTTTTGGTTGACGCCTTTCTCAGTCCAGCAATACTTTCTCTGTTCATTGTGTGGCTTGGCTAAGAGGGTGGGTGGGAGTTGAAGAATAAACGACAGGGAGACAGAGTGAAGGGAAGGGATGACCAGAAAAGAGCATCGGAGCAAGAGAAGGGTCGATAAAGGAAAAGAGAGGGTTTCATAATGACGCGTTTACAAAAACATTCCCATTCTGAAGTGTGAATAATAGTCCTTGAAGACAGGACACATAAACAGGGAAGGAAAGAGACGTGTCGACTCGTAGTCTCAGACCTTACAGTGCGAGGATCAGCCCTGGTCCTGGGTGGACTAAGAGGGGTTGAACAGGGGGTCTCTCTCGAGCGGGAGAGAGCGAGAGAGTAAGAGTGTACATCTCCTCTCCTCCTTTACCGCTCTGCCAATTCTATCGCCAGTAAGTAGATCATAAATCAGCCCACTTCTCCTCCAGGACGACGCAGGAACGGCCGAGAACCGCGCCAGATGTTATTACAACGCCAGCCTGTGATTGGCTGGAGCGCTGCCCTCACTCTCCTAACCCTAAGCCCGTGGGATTATTGTGGCTTTAGGGACCAATGACAGCGTTGGTACAAAGATTTCTCACACATTTGATTCATGCAACAAGGACAGGACACAACTTGGGTCAAGTGTAACACCAGAGCCCTTAGTAAATTACAGAGGTATTGTGGGGAGATTGCGGTTAGGCCAGGACAGGCTAGTTGAGGGGCTTGAAACCGATCAACATCCGAGAAGACCTAAAGCCTGTGGGATTTGTTGAGCGTGGACCCCGAGTTAGGAGTCGTTCAACTGTGGCAGAAACTGGCAGGTGGTTACAATCCTCTCCACTCATCGGACTTCCCTCAACACCCTGCAGATTAGAACTACAATTCCCTGCAGTGCACTGACCTGGGCTGAGGCACACCTCCCGGACCAGGACGGGGTTGCAGGCGCAGAAGCGGTGGGAGAACTTGGTGATGAGCGTCTCCAGGTATTCGCCCCTCTCCTCTGGGGCGTGGATGTGTCTGAAGAAGTCCCTCAGTGCGTTGGGCAGGAACTGGTTACTGAAGTTGTGCAGCGTGACCAGCTCGTCCAACACATCTCTCCTGCAATTAGAGACAATCCAATGAGAATTCAAGAAAACCCAGTGACAATTCAAGAAACCCAGTGAGAATTCAAGAAACCCAGTGAGAATTCAAGAAACCCAGTGAGAATTCAAGAAACCCAGTGACATTTCAAGAAACCCAGTGAGAATTCAAGAAACCCAGTGAGAATTCAAGAAACCCAGTGAGAATTCAATGAAGAAAAGCCACCTCTCATCTAGGTACACCCTCAGCATCTTCCAGTTGAGCGTCCGCGTGCAGAAGATGAACTTGGCCAGCTCCTTGGGGTGGTCCACCAGTATGCCTTTGGACATGAAGTAACTGATACCCTATTGGAGAGAGAGTGTGGATCAACATGAAACACACACAGAGAGAGAGGGATTAGTGGGGGAGAGTAGAGAGAGAGGAGGAGGGCGGGATTAGTGGAAGAGAGAGGGAGGGAGAGAAGGAGAGGGAGAGAGGGGGTGGGGGGATAGTGAGGTAAAAAGAGGAGGAGGGGGGAGGCAGAGGGTGAAAGAGGGATAGAGAGTGAGAGAGAGAGAGAGATGGAGGCCCAGACACAGACAGCACCATGACAGTCTATCCCACAGTGGGGCTATCACATGTCCTTTAAGTGGCTGGCCAAAGCGAGCCTAATCCACGTAGCGATACAGACGGACCAAATAACCCCATTAGAATGTTCCACAGATTCTATGGAACCAGGCTTTGACCTGCAGTGACCTCCAAGGCTGTGATGTCTTTCAGAATGTATGCATCAGTGGTAAACAAGTCATTTAGCTGGTAGTCATTTAAAATACTTTGTCTTCAAGGTGGGCTGACGTGTGGGGGGTTCGATGTGTACTTACTATTTCTAAATCACTATTTCTTGTGGATTTCATAGTGAGGAAGGCTGATCTAGACAGAATCAATAACATATAGTGAAAACAGCTAATTGGCCCGTATATATCTAGCTATATCTTATATATAAGGGAACAGTTTCCCGGAAAACAGACTAAGCCGGCTTTATCTATGTCCGGGAAACCGGAGTGTTTCAGTGGGGAAGTGGTGCTTTAAAAAGGAGACAGAGGCATGAGGATGAAGAGGAAACAGAGATGCTTTACCTCCTGATGGTTAGCGTTGAACGTCAGGCTGCCTTCATCTAGCATCATGTAGAGGCTTCTATATGAGAAGCCATAGGGAAGCCTTCTGTTATAGATGGAACAGTGACCCCAAGTGGATTTACACAAACTAGGGCACAGACAGACAGAGAGACAGCGAGAGAGAAAGGGAAGACTGCAATTAGAAACATGATCACCCGATCAACTCTTTGAACCATTAAAAAAGCACATTGTCACATAGAACATGGCAAATGTTATACCTACTTGTGGCAAGCACCATTTCAATGATTTGTGGACAATTTAAAAAATATAGATGACTCTAATGGTATATCAGGTCAGATCCTATCCTGCAGCACACTTCTCATTGGCTGCGTTTACACAGGGGGCCCAATTCTAATCTATTGTCCAATAATTGGTCTTTTGACCAATCACATCAGATCTTTTCACATGAGATATTTTTTAAAGCTGATCTTATTGGTCAAAATACCAATTAGTGAGAAAAAAATGGAATCAGAATTGGGCAGCCCTCTATTCACTGTACTCACCCCTGCCTCCCTTCCACAGACCCTGTCAGTCTACTACTCACCCCTGCCTCCCTTCCACAGACCCTGTCAGTCTACTACTCACCCCTGCCTCCCTTCCACAGACCCTGTCAGTCTACTACTCACCCCTGGCTCCCTTCCACAGACCCTGTCAGTCTACTACTCACCCCTGCCTCCCTTCCACAGACCCTGTCAGTCTACTACTCACCCCTGCCTCCCTTCCACAGACCCTGTCAGTCTACTACTCACCCCTGCCAGAGGTACTCGTCGTGGCCCAGGTCCTGCCACACGCAGGAGGCCAGACAGAGGTCTGTAGCGTTCAGGTAGGACAGGATGGTGATGCTGAGCTCTGGAGGCAGCATCTCCAGGTCTATGAAGCCCTGCTGCGCCTTCCCCCGGCGGGCACGCAGCAGCTGGTAGATGTCGGCCCCTTGGCAGTGCTGGGGGTGGCGCCGCGGGTGGGGGTGAGGCGGCAGGGGACCTCCACCCAGGTCGCCCATCCCGGGGGAGGGGGATGGGGGAGCCTGGCCTGGGTTAGCCCCCATCTCCATCCCCAAATCCTGGGGATCTCCGTCAAGGCCAGGTCCAGCGTCCCACTGCTCTCCGTACTCCTGCTGCAGCTGCTGGTTCCTGGCCACCCTCCACAGCCCCTGACCCATCTGCAGAATCTGGAGTACAGACAACACAGGCAGCACAGTCTGCATGCGTCACATAGGGAATAGGTTCTCTCAGGAGGAATATCAAACAGAAGTAGCTCAGTGGTCTAGTTACTAGACTTTAATAGGGAATTTCCTGGCCATCCAAAGTCCTATTTGAACAACCCAATATAAAAAACGGGCCATCGTGCTACCTTGTTTAAATGTTTGGGCAACTGGACTACTTCCTGGTTACTTTAGTCACTGGCATGGCAACAGCTGATGGTAGGCCTATCTATCTTGGAGTTACCCTGCTATGCTGAGTCACTGAAGGGCTCAGCAGTTGTCACAAAATAGAGAAACATCCGTGACGGGTCAATTTAATCTGGATTCAGACCCTAGCTGTTTGTCCACAGAAACATTTCAATGATTGTGCTTTCATGTGTCATCTCACACACATTAGCCAAATCAAATCAAAGCAATTGGTTCCTGAAAGTGCACTCTGGAACAGTCTCTGTAAGGGTTCGAGGCAGATTCTAATGTGACTTTGCACAACAAGCCATTTCGAAATATACTGAACAAAAAGAAACGCAACATGGAACAATTTCAAAGATTTTACTGAGTTGCAGTTCATAAGGAAATCAGTCAATTTAAATGAATTCATTAGGCCCTAATCTATGGATTTCACGATTGGGCAGGGGCACAGCAATGGGTGGGCTTGGGAGGGCATAGGCCCACCCACTTGGGAGGCAGGCTCAGCCACTGGGGAGCCAGGCCCAGCCAATCAGAATGAGTTTTTCCCCACAAAAGGGCTTTATTACAGGCAGAAATACTCCTCAGTTTCATAAGCTGTCTGGGTGGCTCGTATCAGACGATCCCGCAGGTGAAGAAGCCAGATGTGGAGGTCCTGGGCTGGCGTTGTTAAACGTGGTCTGCGGTTGTGAGGCCGGATGGACGTACTGCCAAATTCTCTAAAACGACGTTGGAGTCAGCTTATGGTAGAGAAATTAATATTAAATTATCTGACAACAGCTCATGGACATTCCTGCAGTCAGCATGCCAATTGCACTCTCCCTCAAAATAAGCTTTTTGTGCGTATGGAACATTTCTGGGATATTTTATTTCAGCTCATGAAACATGGGACCAACAATTTACATGTTGCGTTTATATTTTTGTTCAGTATAGTTACTAATATGCATCAAGCCTGCCATCTCGATCTTTACCATTTATAATCCTTTGGCCTTGAATGACTGTATTTTACCCCTTCCATTTATAGCCATCTAAACCATTACCCCATCAGACAGGAGATGCTGAGGAGTGCAACTGAGGCAAGGCCTAAACCATTTAGCCTGCTATCATTTACCCTCCATCATGCCAGCTATGGCCCTGTTGTTCCTCCATGAAAAAAACCCTCACAGATTGACGTGGTATTATTTTTTAAACCAGAAGTAGCCTCAGTTAACCCGCTAGGTGACACGCATTCAACTCTCTCCGACTCCCCTGTCAGTCTGTCTTAGTGAGTGGGTTTGTAGCTTCATTCCTAATTCTTGTGTTAATTTTTTTTTGTTGCATCGTTGGGAAAGAGCTTGTAAGTAAGCATTTAACTGTAAGGTCTACTACACCTGTTGTATTCGGCACATGACAAATAAAGTGTCAGACAGTTTACATTTAGAATGGTTCAGAGCTGAATCATAGCCTGGTCCCAGATCTGTTTGTGCCGTCTTGCCAACTCCCGTGGTGATTGAAAAGACGGCACAAACACATCTGGGACCAGGCTAGAATCTTCTGTCTCTGTCACCAGTGGCGGCTCCTGAAAAAATTCTCAGGGGGGGCAATTTTTCTGATGATTTAGGTGACCTACACACATTTTAAAAAAGATATGTCCAGCAACAACATGAAGACAGGGGCAGCATATAAGTCAATACCAGAAGCATTTATTGACTGATCTCAAAAGTGTTGGCTTACCAGGGTTGGTGGAGCCCTCAGTTTCATCTTTGCCTCGCAAAGCTAACTCAAACACTCCGCAAAACTTCACACACTGGATTAGCCGGCTGAGGATGTGGCGGTTCTTGCTAATGTCGTAGTAAATATATTTGTTATAGTGAATATGGAATATGATATGTTGAGTAAAATGTTGTGCTAAGATCTATTTAGGTCAGGAGCTGGTTATAAGTTCTGTTCCTATCCAATAACAATGGACAAAAGGGTCCTATCTTGTCAGCCAAGGACAACACCCACGCCATAGGCCTCTCAGTTCTTCCAACTCACGAGTTCTTGCTCTGAGGACACACACACACACACACACACACATCATCACTGTTAAACACACACACACACACACACACACACACACACACACACACACACACATCATCACTGTTAAACACACACACACACACACACACACACACACACAAAAATCCCCTCTCTTAGGCTGAACATTTGAAGACAGAGAACCCGACTCAGAGCCAATGCAACAGTGACAGTAGCCTGGAGGGGACCTCGCCCAACTCATCAGGACCAATCAGAAGATCAGAACTACTAGATTCAACCTACTTCATTTATTGCATAAAATGTCTGCACACAATGTTTCGGGGCTCTCTTCAGATAATAATAATAATAATAATAATAATAATAATAATAATATGCCATTTAGCAGACGCTTTTATCCAAAGCGACTTACAGTCATGCGTGCATACATTTTTGTGTATGGGTGGTCCCGGGGATCGAACCCACTACCTTGGCGTTACAAGCGCCGTGCTCTACCAGCTGAGCTACAGAAAGTGGATACTCATGGATGCGCATCGCAATTGTCAAATGTCAACACAATTGGAGACACCACGTCATTTTTGGAGACATGTTATTGACAGTAAACTATTGTAGATGCGACTGCTAACTAAATAAAATATTTTAGCTGGCTAGCTAATCATCTTAGCTAAATGTGGGGCAAACAATTCAGTTATTTACCGTTAATTTGAGGGATTGGGGTGAAAGAAATCGAGTTACATAGTGATACTTTACGATATACTGTATTGACAATATCGCAATATTTTAGCGCTAGTTGGCTGTACCTGCACCAAAACACCATTATTGTTCCTTCATAGCTTGTTCTCAATCTTTTCACATTGGGAGCCAATTTGTTTTCAGCACTTTTATTTCCATGACTGATCAAAACTCGTTCTCATGGCTTTCTGATCCCTCTGCAACAGACATATGGTGCGCAATAAAATCACAGTATCGAATCGCAATACGTATAGAATCATGAGACTCGCAATGCATATATCTTATCGTGAGGTTCCTGGCAATTCCCAGCCCAAGTTCATTTGCCACAACAAATCTCTTCGCTAGCAAACGCGATGTCTTCTCCAAAACGGCAATGTGTCTCCAGCAATGTTTACTTTTTTGACGTTCTATGGCATCTCCACTTTCCAAGCATATATGACCACATGTAATATTTTGGTAAGTGATGCAAATAGTGAACTATGTAGGGCCAGGATGTAAAATATATGTAGCTGCAGCAATTTCTCTTATCTGATATGGTAAGTAATGGGGCTTAATGTATAGCTCCCTAAGAGTTTGACGAACGGGTCCGTGCACGCGATTCCAGATATCTTTACCTCTGAATAAACTGCCTTTATTATACCATATCCACCCTGTCCAAAGTCTCTACTTGGTCTCAGTTCTCCAGTAAACTTGTGATTATCAACACTAACCTCATCGTTGTGGCGGCGGACAGCTAGCCTGTATCCCTCATCCAGTTGAGTGGCAATGTTCTTTTTTCGTTAGTACCAATTTTTGGAAAATCCTCGGGTGTAGGACTTTCCGCCTTTAGTAGAAACCTGTTGAATTATTAAATTTGGTCTGGGAGGTCCTAATTGTTTCGTTGCCAATTTATCTTGATTTGTTCGCCGACAAAAAGGAACTTCTTTCAAAGACACAATCGAGTTGCACTGAAGGCTAGCCATTTTTACAGTAGTAGTGAATTGATTGAGGCTGCTACCCGGTCTTTTCTTAGTTACGTTCATGGTTACGTTACGTATGACGAAAGCGCGTAAGTGCAAGCCCTCAGACACCCATAGAGATTGTATTGAAAGCTCTGAAATTTGAAAAAAATAGATTTTACATGGGAGTCTATGACAGACTTCTGGGCGATTTTCAACCTGACTGAAATCGCCCAAAAAGGGGGGGTGGCCATTTGAAGCACGACTTTAGCCTGATTGGACATTTAGTGGCAGATCAGACCAGACACGTCTAGATTACAACACTGATAACTACTGTTGCCGTGATATAATTGATTAGAAAAAAAATCCCTTCCTTTTCCCGTTTGGCAGTGCGTCGCCCATATCGCCCTATTGAACACACCGCCCCTGTCTGTCACTACAGATTAATCTCAATTCCAGCCTATTTAGCCTACCCACTCCTCGGAATTCCTCACGTTCTCAATTCTCTGTTTCCCATGTGATGTGAGCATGCTCCTAGGCTGCTTGCCTCTACATTGCTGCAATGCCATTACACTTGTTATTCAGCATTCCCTGCTTGCTGCTGGAGCATAAAGACTGTAGGTTGCTCAGAAAACACGCTGTGGAATGTGTCTTAAAGCTACAATATGTAACTTTTTGGGCAACCTGACCAAATTTACAGAAATGTGTGTTTTAGATATGTCATTCTCATTGAAAGCAAGTCTAAAAAGCGGTAGTTATGTTCTATGTAAGCTATTTCTATGCTTCTCGTTAAGTTGAGTTTTTGCATCTTTTACTTTTGTACACCAGCTTCAAACAGCTGAAAATACAAGATTTTTGGTTATGGAAAACATATTTCACAGCAGTTTAGCTGGTACAATGATTCTCTACACTGACTGACTTTTGTCACATAAACTGAAATTAGTCAAACTATTAGAATTTTAGCAACTAGGAAATGGCAGAGCTATTTCTGCATATTGCATCTTTAAAGTTGTTATAGATGAGTCTACTGGTTATATGGTGAGAGGGTTACTGTAGGTCATAGATGTTTCTAGACATGTAGGCCTAGACTAGAACTGTTTGGATTAGGACTACTGATCTAAGGGTGTATTTGTTAAAATGTGGATTGATGTCTTGCTTTCATACCTATGATGGCCTAGCTTGTTAGTCAATTTTTTAAAGCATTTTCTGAAAAAATAATTCAGTAGAAAAAGCAAACTTGCACTCATTTAAAAGGAGCATGGTGTGATCACATTGGCTGAACTAATGTATTGCGAATGCACAGAATGAGTTGGGTACTGAATCTGGTGGTTGTAGCCATATCATTTGAGTTTAAAAGGAGCAACTATCTACAGTGGTTTTTGACTTGTTTGTGATGGAAAAACAGGTGATAGCCTACATGTGTGTAGAGAGAATGTTGTACCCAAGGGTCTGTGTACAGTCAATAAAGTGAAGCAGCATACAGAGTCTGAGAAATAATTTCGATCAGCTGCCTACTGAATGTACCATCTTTAACAAACTAATGCAAACGATATGCTAGGGACAAGGTCATTCATACATACCTGTAGTCATGTAATAAGAACTGTATCTTGGTAAACAAAGAGGGACCATACTCTGTCAAGCGCTAGAGTTAATGACGTTTGCCTAATTCAGTAATTGGATAAACTGTCACACGAAGTCAGACAGCAGTGGGCTGGAAACACGTTTAGTGTCTTGCTGTAAACAACAACAAGTTATGTTCAGCAGCTGATCGAGAATAATTGCACTATCAAGCTAGATTGACCTAAAGCCCTAGCATTCGTCAATATAATTATACAAGCCAACCAGCCATTGGGGGAGGCTCTTGTCAATTGTAACCAGCACCACCTACCTGAACTATATGCAAGATTTTACCGCCGCCGCGACGTATACACAGTCCAGATCGTAAACAACTTCGGTGGGAATAGTTTTGGGTCTTCTACCGGTAACCAGAGGCTCTCATCTCCGTTAAATGCTGGCCAAAAAGACCCACTCTCGTCGCTGTTGTAAAGAAAAACTGCTCACAAAGTGACAACAGGCCTAATCTGCCCCTATCACTCAACATAGTGCTTCTTCCACTCCTCCTTTCACCCTCCTCGTTTCACACGCACTGTTGTCCCGTTTGACGTTTCGCTTGTTATTGGTGGAAATGACGTGCTGTAACTGAGTAAATCCATTTAACGATTGTGAATGGTACTTACCTATGATAATGATATATACATATTTATATTTTTTGGTTAGAAAATAAAAAATATATAGTAAAATTGTCGGCCTACACAGAGTAGTCTAACGAATTTCATTAAATCCATTGGACTTTTACAAAGAAACTCCAGTGCATTGCCTTGTTTCTTCTAATAAATTAAAAGGTAGCTAGACCTTATACTAATTAAATTGTCCTTCCAACTACAGACAGTAAAGACGAAGTTTTACATGTATTTAGCTAGTTCAGCTTGTTTCATAAATCGTCGTCAATTTACCATCGACATTAAAACCAGCAGTCTACAAACTTTTAGCGCCATCTAGCTATGAATGTGCTCTTATGAATCTTCCTTCTAGTTTTTCTGATTCAGTTATCATGGCAACCAATCGCGGCAATTATGTTATTTACCCGGGCAAAACAAACTGAAGACATGTCCAGCTAGCTAACTTTGCCAGCACTTGTACTCAAATATAAGGTAATTTATTACATTTTTTGTTATGGCATGTTTCAGTAGCTGCAACAACGTGTCACCTCAACAAAATCTACGTTAGACTATAACATAGCCAGTAACTTTCTGGCAAACTGTGTTTGGTAGCTAGCCAAAATGTACCTAGCTATAATGTTTATGCTAGCTAGTTAGTTGGTGTTTTTATCCATTCGTTGAAAAATAATTCATGGAAGAATTGTTGTTGTAATGTTACCTGTCTGTCGTTTGCATGTTCTCAAGGTCCACAATGATGTCAGCCGGTGATTTGAAAGGATGTCTTCGGAAACTGGATGCTCAACTACGGGCATTGAAGTACCCAAGAGAGGTCGACTATAATGGGTATGTTAGCTAGCTAGTAAGTCATGGATAAAAGTAGCGCTGGTGCCACTGCCAACTGAACAATTGTGCCACGTTCCCAAACTGTTTGAGGGAAGGAGCCAGCTTGCTACAATCTGTCGGCACCTGTGTTGTGGTTGTTCAGTTGATGGCCACATAATGGCGCCACTATTCAGTCTCTTAGTTGCAGTGCAGGAGATGTATGAACATTTGTGTCATTTTTACTTGCTTACATTGGAGAAAGAAATCCCCCATATATTCATCCATTCTGATATATAGTGAGCTCCAAACATATTGCGTCAGTGACCATTTTTGTGTTGTTTTGGCTCTGTACTCCAGCACCTGATTTGACCATCATGTATTCCAAGATGGGCGAACAGTGGGTCGTCACTTTGGATTTGAAATGATACAATGATTATGAGGTTAAAGTGCAGACTGTCAGCTTTAATTTGAGGGTATGAACCGTTTAGATATTACAGCACTTTTTGTACATAGTCCCCCCATTTTTGCTACCATGATTAGATAGTCCTGAATGAATCGTGAATAATGATGAGTGAGAAAGTTAGATGCACAAATATCATACCTCCCCAAAAATGCTAATCTCCCCTGTTATTGTAATAGTGAGAGGTTAGCATGTCTTGGGGGTATGATATTTGTGAGTCTGTAACTTTATCACTCATCATTATTCACGATTCATTCAGGACTATCTGTAATCATGGTAGCATCCACATGAATGTAGAAGTGTTTAGAAACATTATATTCTTACTTACAATAAAAGTGACTCCAAAATGACACAATGCATTATTTACCATTCATTTGTATTGGGCACAAAATAATCTCAAACACAACCAAAACAAACAGCAAATGCATCCAACAAGTTTGTAGAGTCACAAGCTTGACGTAATCATTGGATGCTAGGAGTATGGGACCAAATACTAAACTTTTGACTACTTTAATAAACATAAGTTAATTTGTCTCAATACTTTTGGTCCCCTAAAATGGGGGGTCTATGTACAAAAAAATATGAAAATACCCTCAAATTAAAGCTGACAGTCTGCTCTTTAACTTCATAGTCAAATCCTAAGTGCTGGAGTACAGAACCAAAACAACAAATGTGTCACTTTCCCAATACTTTTGGAGCTCACTGTATACAATATACATGGAGTATACCAAACATTAAGAACACCTTCCTAATAATGAGTTTCGTCCCCCCCTTTTACCCTCAGAACAGCCTAAATTTGTCTCTACAAGGTGTCGAAAGCGTTCCACAGGGATGCTGGCCCATGTTGACTCCAATGCTTCCCACAGTTGTTTCAAGTTGGCTTGATGTCCTTTGGGTGGTGGACCATTCTGGATACACACAGGAAACTGTTGAGTGTGAAAAACCCAGGAGCGTTGCATCCCTTGACAAAAACTGGTGCACCTGGCACCTACTACCAAACCCCTCACAGTTTATTAGCTACACCCGTCTAGTACTGGGTCAGATCCCCCTTTGCCTCCAGAACAGCCTGAATTCTTCGGGGCATGGATTCTACAAGTCGGAAACGTTCCACAGTATGTTGGTCCATGCTGACGCGATGGCGTTATGCAGTTGCTGCAGATTGGACGGCGGTACACCACTGCAACCAGCCTGTACTGTTGACACCAGGTAGTCCATGGACTCTGCCATCAGCATGATGCAACAGCAACCAGGATTCGTCGGACCAGGCAATGTTTTCCACTCCTCAATTGTCCAGTGTTGGCGATCGCGTGCCCACTGGAGCGGCTTCTTCATGTTTTTAGCTGATAGGAGTGGAACCTGGTGTGATCATCTGCTGCAATAGCCCTTCCATGACAAGGACTGACGAGTTGTGCGTTCTGAGATGCAGTTTTGCACACCACTGTTATACTGCGCTGTTAGTGGCCCACCTGTTAGCTTGCACCATTCATGCCATTCTCTTTCCACCTCTCTCGTCAACAAGCTGTTTTAGCCCAAAGGACTACCGCTGACTGGATGATTTGTTTGTCGCGCCATTCTCGGGGAAACCCTAGAGACTGTCATGTGTGAAAAGCCCAGGAGGACAGCCTTTTCTGAGATACTGGATCCGGCGCGCCTGGCACCGACGATCATAACACGCTCAAAGTCGCTTAGGTCACTTGTTTTGCCCATTCTAATGTTCAATCGAACAGTAACCGAATGCCTCAATGCCTGTCTGCGTGTTTTATAAAGCAAGCCATGGCCACGTGACTCACTGTCTGTAGGTGAGATCTGATTTTGTGAACGGGGTGGTGTACCTAATAAACTGGCCGGTGTGTATGTATGTGTGTATATATATCAGTCAATTGAAATAAATAAATTAGGCCCTAATATATTAATTTCACATGACTGGGCAGGGGCGCAGCCATGGGTGGGCCTGGGAGGGCATAGGCCCACCCACTGGGGAGCCAGGCCCAGCCAATCAGAATTAGTTTTTTCCCCACAAAAGGGCTTTATTACAGACAGAAATACGCCACAGTTTCATCAGCTGTTCTCAGACGATCCCGGAGGTAAAGAAGCCGGATGTGGAGGTCCTGGGCTGGCGTGGTTACACACGTTTGGTTTACCACGGCAACTACTGTAGCTATCTACACTGAACAAAAATATAAAGCAACATGTAAAGTGTTGGTTTCATGAGCTGAAATAAAAGATCCCAGAAATGTTCCATACACACAAAAAGCTTATTTCTCTCAAATGTAGTGCACACATTTGTTAACATCCCTGTTAGTGAGTATTTCTCCTTTGCCAAGATAATCCATCCACCTGACAGGTGTGGCATGTCAAGAAGCTGATTAAACAGCATGATCATTACACAGGTGCACCTTATGCTGGGGACAATAAAAGGTCACTCTAAGATGTGATCTGATGTGATTGGTCAAAATACCAATTAGTGGAAAAAATATAAGAATTGGGCTGCCTGTCTAAACGAAGCCCAACACACATTTTGACATCAATGGAACCCAAACGAGTTTGATTAAAAACTAGACAAAAGCTACAATTGAAAAAAGTGGCCAACCTTTGTCTCCTGATTTTAAATTGTCTGTCATCCACAGAAAATTGTATTTGAGCCAAATCCTTTTTTAAATTCTCCACAAACATATTGTGTTTGATGCTCTTCACTTCAAAAAGGAATCCCTGCTTCCCTGCTCATCAGATGTGCAGACTGGGGTCCTCGTCAGAGAGGGGGACCCACGGCTGGTTAATGTAAAGCATGTTTACAAACCCAGTTATAGTCGGGCAGGGCTCCGTACAATCCCCTCTGCCGCCTGCCGGGGACTTCAAAACAAACCCAGACTGTGAACTGTCACCGTGGCTACAGCCCCAATCTGGATGTTTATATGACTACAGATGTTTAGTCTGTCTTCCAGCCAAAGAATTTAAGCTTTGTCGCAAATAGCACCCTATATAGTGTACTATTTTTTTTAACAGAGCCCTATGGGCCCCTGGTCAAAAATAGTGCACTATATGGGGAATAGGATCCCATATGGGACACATCCAGTCTCGTGACTTTATCCTACACTACAGAGCATGTTTGCATATAGCACGCAAGAACATCATACAGACTGTTGATAATAGTAATTCTAGCCTACATTTTCATTCTCAAAAATGACGTTGGAGGCAGCTTATGGTAGAGAAATGAACATTCAATTCTCTAGGAAACAGTTCTGGTGGGCATTCCTGCAGTCAGTATGCCAATTGCACGCTCCCTCAACTTGAGACATCTTTGGCATTGTGTCGTGTGACAAAATTTCAGATATTTTCACATCAGATCTTTTTCAGAGCTGATCTGATTGGTCAAAATACCAATTGGTGAAAAAACAGTATTGTTGTCCATAGATTTTTAGGCCTAAATGATACCAATACATATGGAAAACAGTAGTACACATTGTAAAACACAATATATGCTTTATCTCTACAGCTTGGCCAAAGGAGATCCTTCTGCCGTTCTCCCCATAGTAAGTTATGCATTCGTCTCCTATTCACCACACCTTGCTGAACACCTGGTGGGCTTTGGAGTGGAACTCACTGGGAAGAACGACCTACGTTTTATCGAATGCATCTACAAGGTAAATCCCACATTGATTCTATTGTATTCTTTTTTTTAAACTCTATTAAGGGTAATACTGTAGATTAAAATGTTTCCGTGACGTAGCCTTAGTATTTAAGTATCATCATGCACAGTCAAGGGTTTTTACGCCATAGGTCTCCCTTTTAGTATGGTAGGAAGAAGGTGCAGAGCTTAATACTAGCACAACACTCTGTTTTAATGACTAATGTCTTTCATGATGAAATCACGTTTTTGAATGTATCCCCCCCTGCAGCAATCCCACATCCAGTCCTAGACCTACCCATTGAGAAACACAATGGCATCACTCCCCAGTTGACTGTATATCTGCCAGCCTCGTTCCTTCATGCACTCCCTATGATTAATGCTCTGTTCATTCACTGCGTGGTGGGATTTCCTGGGCCCTGCTTTTCCAGCAGGCTCCCCACCACCGCTCTCCCCATGTGGCCCCATGCAGTGTCGTCTCCCTAACACTAAGCAGTTTCTCCCAATAGCAGGGACTCCCCTCTAGATCCCCTCTCTCATACATAGCCGTTATCATCGTAATGGTTCAAAATGGCAAACTGTTCCCAGTTGTTTCCTCACAGGCAACAGACACACACTCGCACACAGTGACTTCACACTCGCACACAGTGACTTCAGTTTATTCCTTGGGGTCTCCTGAGGCCAACGGCCGCCTACCCCGACGCTCTGCTGTGGTTTAACCCCTTCAAGCTTGAGCTGAACCGCATGATTTTCCCCTAATATATACACACACACACAGATGGAAGACATTGGTATTGCATCACTCACTACCAATAAAGTCCTTTTGAAACAGTGCAGGATTTCCCCTGTAGAAGGAAAGGGTAGGCTACATGTGGGATTCCTTTTCATTCCTGTGGTGTTCAAATTACATGAATGGAGTCTTACTGTAGTTGAGGAATTCCATTCATTCTTATCCATGGGCCATAGTATAGGCCTCCTGTCTAAATTAATTTTTGTCATTGTGCTTGGACAGGTCAAGGCAAAGCCATTTCCTTCATTGCAAGATCTAAGATTAAAGCTCCTCCTCATCACAAGCAACCAAGGACTTGGAAGGAATGACTTGTTTAACTGGATCAGGGGTTTTTCAGTCTTTTTGTTAAGGCTGTACTTTAGCCTCTGTTAACCCTGCTATCAGAACCAGAAGGGTTTTCACTGAGCGGTCCCTGATCTGCAGCATCTGTATTTTAGCAACACACACACACACATGCTCCACTCTCTGGTGGTGTTTCCTTCCAACTGGCAACCGGTGGTCGGCAGCACAGCGTCCTTGAGCAATTCTGTTTTATAAAGGCTCACATGAAATCCTGATTCCTGCGGTGAACACAGGAACTCCCGTCTCCCCTCTATTCTGTGCTCTTAGCCCTGAGGCGGCAGGCGAGCTATCTGCCTCTCACAGCATCGGTTCATTTTGGAGAGCGAGAGGAGAGGGAGACAGAGGAGGAGAAGGAAGAGAGAGACCCTGTGCGATGGAGGGGAGGAGTCCTTTTGGCTGGCGCCCAGTCACTGCTTCGCCTGGCTGGCACACACATAAATATGGGATACAGATTGGGCCGACATACCAGCAGCATGTCATACGGAAGACGGTGCAGGGAGGAGACAAGCCATTTGCTCGGCATTATAGTCGGTGTAACAGGAAGCGCTCATTTAGCTCTCCTGTCATACCTACTGCCATCTTTCCCTGAACTCATGTTAACTATAGTTAGTTTTACAATTATCAATAGAATGTTTGGATTTGTCCTACGTTTTCCAGAACTCAATATACTTTAAAATGATTAAAACCAAATTGAAACTGTGCAGAAATTATAATGGACCTACATTTATACAGTTTCTTGACTGTGTCCAGCTCGCTAATAAACACTGAAATTAAAGCTAGATAGTCGGGGAGCATCGAAAATTGAATGACAATTCAATGAATATTGTTTTGATCTTTGCATTTTTTTTACTGCGTGAATGAAAAAACAACATGGTGTATTTTGATTTGAAACAATTTGTTGCAGCAGGGAGAATTCAGCCTTGTGTGTGTGTGTCACACTGTATTGTTCACCACATCTAGGTACTGCGGGATCTCTTCCACTACAAACCCGTCCTGACCAAGCAGCAGTTCCTCCAGTTTGGCTTTGCAGAAAGAAAGACCTGCATCCTCTGTGATGTCATCGCCTTCGCCCTGCAGAAACACAAAGAGCTCAGCAAAGGCAACAAGGTCAGTCTGTCTCCCTCAGCTTTGATGAGCAAAGAGTATCATCATCATCATCATCAATGTGTGGTTTGACATGATAAAGATGACACGGTATTCATGGTTCAATTAATTATTGCACCGTCTTGGTCAGATCATGTCTGTATTGTAATAGAGAATGTGTTCTCAATAGCCTACCTGGTTAAAGAAAAGGTACATGTATTGCATCTGTGTGTGTTGCAGCCAAAGCCGAGACCTCGTTTTCCGGCCTCGAGTTCAGACTCCAAAAGTGAGGCTCTCCCATTTCAGGGTGACACAATGAAACCCTCGGCCATCACAGTAAGTCTTTGCCAAGGACATGAAAGTGTAGACCGACAGATCTGTTTAACTCTATACACTTTATCAAAGAGGCCTGAGCTAGTCCATTGTAATGCATGAGTACATGGCCCTTCTGTAACATGACTAGCTGAGATGGTTCTTTCCCACAGTTGTCCCTAAGCAGGCCACTAGTGGAGAGACACATTGGTGGTGGCTCCTGGGTCTCCTCTAGTAGAGCCTCTGATGACGAAGAGTCTCAGGAGGAAGAGGAGGAGGGTCTGGGACTGGAGGAGTTCCAGAAACCAAGCACCTACAGTCCCTCAGACAGTGAGTACCAGCATACTTCTCCACAATATACGCACAGACACACACGGCCCATTTCTCTCTGTAACACACAGCACCAAAGTGACACACATACACACTGACTGGATTGTGTCCTTCTCCAGGACCCGGTGGTGGAGGGGAGGCTGGCAGCGCTGGAGGCCCAGCTGCTGCAGGTCCAGACCAGGCTGGAGAGGCTCTCGGCCCTGGAGCAGAGGCTGGAGCTCCTAGAAAAGGCCTCGGCCGGGAGGATCACTATAGACAAGCACCAGTGGGAGAACCTGGAGTGCAGAGTGCTACTGCTGGAAACCAGACTGACCCTCTCCACAGCCACAGCCCAGGTAGGAAGGGATCTCTCCACACGATCTGTCCAATCTGGAGACTCTTCTAAAGAACTCTCCGTACTTCCATCCAATGACAAGTAGAAGCAGATGTTGAACTAATGATGTCATGATGTCAGTCCATTCCAGAATGGCTACTGTATCTCTGTTTGCTGGTTAAAGATGGAAAAATTTGCACATTTCAAGGTTGTTTTTTCCCTCCTCTAGGAGTCGTCGTCACTTGTCAGTGGAGGTTGGAGTCATCACATGACGGATAATGCAACAGAAGTCACGGGTTGGAACTGATTTTGACAATAAAAGTATTTGAGTAGAGTATTGATATGCTATATTGATGAGGCCATTATATACAACAACTGAAATACAGTAATCGAAAGATAAAATTCCCAATGTGATATAAGAGTTCAACTGATGCTCACATACCCCTACAGAGTCAAGACACAGTCCTCCAGAGAGCCTCCTACACCCCTCTGGCTGTGAGTGTCCTCAGTCCTCCACCCATTCCGCTAGCTATCCCCTCAGCCCCTGTGTGACAACAGCACCCCCAGAGGTAATGGCAGATATTACAAGTAAATATATATGTAATGGAAGCAAACTATTTGGGATGGATTAAATCCGTATCGCGGAAGATCCGCGTTATAGCTCGATTTAAAATTTAAAGGCAATGTTCGAGGAGACTGCATTCATAGGAAACTCTGCATATGTCTACTCAATCGGAAATTACCTTAGAATTGTTACGCGGTTCTTCCACGATATGGAATGAATCCAGCCCTTAGTTTTTAATAATTATTGTCCCATTTTCTATAGGAGAATATGAAAGAGAGATTGGAAAGGATAGCCAACATGTAAGTACTGTAGATCTATGTTGTATTCCCTCTGAGGTTAACCAAGGCTAATATACCATCTATTGTATATAAAATGATACTGCATTTATGATTGACTTCATTACGTTTTGTTCTTTCTTCTCCTATGTTGCTTTAGGATGAAAGACACTTCCAGCCTTCTAAGAAGTATAGAACCCTCAATGTAAATTCAGACTTTAAAAAAATATGTATTGTTGTAATTGATCTCTGGATTAGTATGTGAGTGATGAATAAAGGTATCATGGATAAATATCGATTTATGTTCACATCTATGTTCTGTGTTTTATTTGCACTAACAATTTACGTACAATGTCCGGTCTTGTGTAACTTGTGCAACCTTACTTTCAATCAGGGTGTCGTGTCAGAGGATCCGTCCACTGAGGGCTCTATTCAATCCGTATCGCGGAAGTTCATCATTAAAACATGTTACATTTAAAAGCAATGTTCCCCCGTAAGCGGAGACTGCATTCACGGTAAACGCTGCATTACAGCTCAATCGGAAATGACCTTTACATTTCTATCACGCAATCGGTAATGCTTCAGCGATGCAAATTGAATAGTGCCTGAGGGTGTGTTGATGTCTACTCTGCAGTTGCGCCTTAGCTGACATCCGCTTGCTTGTATTTCCCTGGCCACTGTGAACTATGGACCTGACCAGTAGAGGTCACTAACAGACCTCTCTCTCTGAGACGTCTTCTCTGGCTATACTCCAGCTCCCATTCAATCATCCTTCCTCCTCACAGTAGAGCTTTCCTAAGCCCTGTATGAACTGCAATGGATGAGAAGATCCATTGCGTTTTGAAAAGAAGGCTAGGATAGAGGACAATAAATTAATAATTAAGAGAGTTTGTAATTCTGCTCATAGTTTTCCTCATTCCGGCCGAGATTACATTTTATTTATTTATTTCACCTTTATTTAACCAGGTAAGCCAGTTGAGAACAAGTTCTCATTTACAACTGCGACCTGGCCAAGATAAAGCAAGGCAGTGCGATTAAAAACAACAACACAGAGATGCATATGGGGTAAACAAAACATAAAGTCAAAAATACCACAGAAAATATATATACAGTGTGTGCAAATGTAGCAAGTTATGAAGGTAAGGCAATAAATAGGCCATAGTGCAAAATAATTACAATTAGTATTAACACTGGAATGATATGCAAGAGATGATGTGCAAATAGAGATACTGGGGTGCAAATGAGCAAAATAAATAACAATATGGGGATGAGGTAGTTGAGTGGGCTAATTTCAGAAGGGCTGTGTACAGGTGCAGTGATCGGTAAGCTGCTCTGACAACTGATGCTTAAAGTTAGTGAGGGAAATAAGAGTCTCCAGCTTCAGAGATTTTTGCAATTCGTTCCAGTCATTGGCAGCAGAGAACTGGAACGAATGGCGGCCAAAGTTGGTGTTGTCTTTGGGGATGACCAGTGAGATATACCTGCTGGAGCGCATGCTACGGGTGGGTGTTGCTATGGTGACCAATGAGCTAAGATAAGGCGGAGATTTGCCTAGCAGTGGGCAAGTTGCAGCGGAGGGTGCAGAGCTGGTGGCCGGGGTAGTGGTAGCCAGGTGGAAAGCATGCCAGCCGTAGAAAAATGCTTGTTGAAATTCTCGATTATTGTAGATTTATCGGTGGTGATAGTGTTTCCTAGCCTCAGTGCAGTGGGCAGCTGGGAGGAGGTGCTCTTATTCTCCATGGACTTTACAGTGTCCCAAAACTTTTTGGAATTAGTGCTACAGGATGCAAATTTCTGTTTGAAAAAGCTAGCCTTCGCTTTCCTAACTGCTTGTGTATATTGGTTCCTAACTTCCCTGAAAAGTTGCATATCGCGGGGGCTATTCGATGCTAATGCAGTACGCCACAGGATGTTTTTGTGCTGGTCAAGGGCAGTCAAGTCTGAGGAGAACATATATATATATATATATATATATATATATATATATATATATATATATATATATATCTATATCTGTTCTTAGTTCTGAATTTTTTGAATGGGGCATGCTTATTTAAGATTGAGAGGAAAGCACTTTTAAATGTGTGATAGGGAAATATGTACGAAAAATAAAAATAAATACAAAAAACTGGCTATTTACACGGACTCACAACAAAGAACACGACCGCACTGCTACGCCAGACGGAGGCGGCTTATGGTAGAGAAATTAACATTCAATTCTCTGGCAACAGCTCGTGGACATTCCTGCAGTCAGCATACCAATCGCATGCTCCCTCAACTTGAGAACTGCACATTTAAGAGTGGCCTTTTATTGTCCCCAGCACACGGTGCACCTGTGTAATGATCATGCTGTTTAATCAGCTTCTTGATATGCTTATTTCCAAATGAGCCGACATATGCAGCATTGTACTGTGAATGTGGTCTTTGCTGAAAAAGTGCTCTTGAATTGAATCCTGGACTTAATATCATAAAAATGCCTAGTAAAAAAACAATGACCAAGGAGAGTTGAGGATCCAAAGAAATGGACAACCCAGTGTGCTGGAGCATGGTGTTTGCAACACCAGGGATTTGGCTTTGATTCCTATAAGGGCCACATAAACTGTGGTGTAATCCAGGATTGGCCACAGTCACAAGGACCGTGAATAGGAAATCACAGTACAAACACTCAGGGGGCAGGTTAAAGACAAAATATAGACTTTTAATGACAACCTTAGAAGTACATGATCAAACTCTAAATCAAAAGACCTAGCTCTGTCAGAGCATAACTTACTCAATCAAACTGAACCAAAAACCTTCCTTCAAACAAAGGTCCATGGAGCTTGGACAGTCTTCAGCAGCTCCTGCTGCTTTTTCCATGTGGCAAACCCCCAATGCATCTTCTTCCATGACGTTTTAACGGCGGTTGGCATCCAATAAATGTTGCATTACCGAATTTATTAACGGAGTCAAAAAACAAATGTGTTCAATGTGTTCAAATGCCTTCTGATTTTCATGTTTGTAGATTTCACATACAACGTCTTTATATTTCACACATTAAGCCCATACAAAAATGCTTTGAAATTGCCGACTGTTCTTTTGCTGTTGCATTATTTCCCTGACCACGGTGTGACGTATGGACTTGACCACTAGAGGTCACTAACAGACAGCTATACAGTATATTCCAGCTCACATTATTCATTCGTGCTTCATTGTTTCCCTCTAGTGGTCATTCTATGTATAAGAGAACAATAAGTCTGTTTTATGCTTCACTGCTACTTTGAATATTTGCAAAGTGCTCTGTGAGATGGAATGTTTTCAGAGCAAATTGCCACTCTGAATCTGAATGATCATTCCTAGAGGGTCCATTCATTGACCCCTTGTTCTAGAGAGCAAGTTGGAACAGAGCCATCCTAACCTCTCTGACCTTTCTCCTTCCTGTTTACCTGTTGTTTAGCCCAGCTCCCAGGCCTCTAGCTGGCTGAAGGTGTTGGAGAGGTGAAACAGCCAGATCTTGTGGGGACCTGTCTGGAAGGATGTACACATTAGTATTTTAGAACAGAGCCTTCTATGACAAATCGAAGGCACTGTTCCTGAACATTGTTATTGACTTTCAGTGTGAGTCAAGAGCAAGTGTGTGACGCAGCTCAGCAGAAACATGGGTAGATCAGAGGTGAGCCCTGACAGTGGAGGTGGTGTGTGTGTGTCTCTCTCTAGTTGTTTGTGAGTGTGTGCATGTTTCCCTCTATTTGTGTGTGTGTGTCTGTGTGTGTGTGTGTGTGTGTGTGTGTGTAGAGCAGCTTGCCGTAATGCGGGGCGCTCAGCAGGGGGTGCAAGCTGGCAGAGTGAGACCACAGAGTCTCTGTAGTAGAGTCTGATCATAGACCTACAGAGGGAGAACCAAAAGTAGCAGATAGACACATTCCTCCTTTAGACTCAACAAACAGCATGTAACTCCCTCAAAAACACCCCCTCGTCCCTCCTTTCCTCCCCCAAATTCAACAGGAGACCCTGGACCACCCCCAACCCTCCCCATACTGAAACACCCAGTCGGGTTTACTACAGAACTGCTTCTGCCTGACTGAGACCTGCCCTACCCAGATGTGGCTAAGCCGGGGGAAAAGTCCTTAATCACTTCTTCTCCACTGGTATGTTTCCTCAAGATTGTTCCCTAAACCCTGCTTGTTTTTACTGGCTGTGTGTGAGGGTTTTAACTGTATGTTCTGTACCGTGCATCCTGTGGTTTCTGTGTGTGTTGACTGTTATTGGGATTATGTGTTGATCCTGGTTGTGTCTTGCTGTATGTAGCCTATCAAGAGAAATGTCTCTCACAAGAAAAATAATGTTCTAGGAATTGAATACAACACATGACTAAAGAGTACAATGAAGCACTGTTTTGATCACCTGCCTGAACAAACACATCTCTTGCATTGTGTAGAGTTGAAGAGAGCCGCTCCGTTTCAGTTTAAAGTAATTACCTGTAGCTGTAGGGCATTTGGGGGAGGTAGTGTATTCACTAGAAACATACACCATCCCTCCCTAATGTCGATATATTATTGAATAAAGGGAAGCGCTCCAAGGCTAATGCATGTTGAATAAAGCCCATTGATTCCATCAATCTTTTTCTTTGCAATTGTCTTCTCAGTCATCAGTTTAGTTCAATGTGAATTGCAATAAAACGGTCAATCCTCCAAGGCATTAGGTTGGATAATTTTTTTTATTTTTTATTCACTGTCATAATTTGAATGTTTTCTTGTTTTATGGACTTGACTGTGAACCGATATGCTTCTTCAACCCTAAAGGAATTTGTATTTTACACCAGAAAGGCCTACTACTGTCCAGCAAGGAATAAACAAACTATGCCATCTGTTATTTAATTTGTTTAAAGTCACTCCAAAGTGTATTTCTGATAAAAGGCTCTAATATTATGTCTGTGTTGTCGTATTGCTACAACATGCTTACTGTACTGTAAGTCAAACACCATCTGCTCAAGTAGCTGTTTCAATAGCAAATGCCTTCCCTCCATATATACAAATATGTAAAAACAAAAATATAAACGCAACATGCAACAATTTTAGAGTTACAGTTCATATAAGGAAATTAGTCAATTGAAATAAATAAATTAGGCCCTAACCTATGGATTTCACATGACTGGGTATACAGATATGCATCTGTTGGTCACAGACACTGTACCTTAAAAAAAAAAAGGTAGGGGCGTGGATCAGAAAACCAGTCAGTATCTGGTGTGATAACCA